CAAAATATCATTATATATATGAATTCATTTCCCAAAAAAATCATATATACCACTCATTATCTATAAATTATATCACAAGTACTATGTCATAAGTATAAAAGAATAACTAAAATAAAAAGAGCATAAACCTAAAGGAATCCTGATCAGCCTCATACTCCTGATCCTTTGCTCTGACATCAAATCATTTATCCCCATATAATAAGCTAAAAATTCCAACATGTCACCAAAGCCTACAACTAAACTCAACACAAGATAAATGAGTAATATGCATGTCAATAGTTAAATCACAACAGTTACATTCATATGATCGTCATTGAATCTGTACAGAAATAGTAAAATTATATGATACAAAAGACAGTAAATCAGTACGAGTTATATCAATACTACAATTAGAAGAGAAATCGTATAAAAAAATAAAATTAAACCATCAATAAAGACTACCAAAATCAAATCAATATAGTAAAATTATATATGAGTATACATATGTCTATTCTATATCAGTATTAAATCAGTATCTTAATCACATACTCAACATCTCTTGTATATCACGTGCTTACATGCTTTTTATATCAATAACTCAGTAAAAATATTAATAATAAATTCATAAAGTGATATGAATAATGTCTCAATAACATTTATTTTAATAGTCATAATAAACAAGTAAGAATTTTGGCTATCATGTTATTTTTTCAGTATCGTATTAGTGTTAATAAATTATTAGATCAATAAACTTAGTCATTACTATTTGCTCGTTGGCACAGTAATCATCACTTTATATCTCTCAATCAATACATCATGTGAATCAGTAAAAGATAAGACCAAACTAAAATATTTTAAGAAAAGTTTGTCGACCGATCTTCCTGTACATGTCAATCAGTTTCCAACCAATGGTTCAACCAATCTTTATGTGTCTTTTACACACATATTATTATCAAAGTACTATAATAGTAATCTCAATCACATATCCAAATTTATTTTCAATGTATTGCAATAAATAAAATATAATTGAACATAATATATAAACTGTTAAAATATCCTAATGGTAGGCAACAGAAAATCCTACTAAGCAAAATTTAATATTTTAAGAAATTAATCAAATTATTAGGGATTATATATAACAAAATTATGAAATTTTTATTAAACTAAATTATTATTTTTTAATTTTCAAAATAAACTTCTTAGTAGATAAAAATCACTACTTTTTAAAAATAATATAGTAAAAAATCTTAAATAAATACTTAAATTATTCATAATCTCAATCTATATAACATATAAAAAGTTACATGATGAAAATTTTATAAATATAAAATTATTCTCATTTTTCGATAATGAAAACACAAATTTGATTGATAAAATATCAAAAATATAAAATTATTAAAATAACAAATAAGATAAAGGTTTCTTGCAATAAGATGAGCAAATTTTTCAATTTCACCAACTAACAAAAATTGCTCCGTAATCTTTAAATCTAAGTTTATTTTTTATCTTTCCCCTATTTTTACTCTCATTTTAGTTTTCAATTCTCTATTTAGCCAAATAAGAAGAGGAAATAAGGTTTAGATAAAGCTAATAATGCTTTAAGATATTTATAATAAAATAATAAAATAATATTAATATAATTATACAATTTAATCAATTTTTTAAAATACAATTCATATTAACTATTAACTATTGAAATACTATGATATCAATGTTATTTGCGAAGATTGTTTGTGATTTGGACTTTTATTAACTATTGAAATTACATGGGTTAAAAGATGGGTAATTACATTCTACCCACCTTAAAAAATTTCTTCCCCGATATTTTACTTAAGGATTCGATTACAAAATTGATATAAATCAAATTCGTACGATCAAAACTCAAATCAAAACGGATCAAAAACTATAAAGTCATTGCAATTCATTCTATACATGTCATTTAATTATGTATGCAAACTAATGCACCTTAATTTATCCAATATACTTGACACCTAATCAATTCACATAACTCTAATAACAAATTAATTCTTCCAACAACCATGCTCTAAAAGCAATTGTAATTAATGCCCCAAAATCTAATTTTGAAGAATTATTTTTTTTTTAATATACGAAAAAAAATCATAGCTATTTTATATCATTTATCATTAAAATAGCGAAAACAATTTTTATAGTTCAATATATATATATATATATATTCATTTCCTTAAAAAGTCATATATATTATTCAGAATCTACAAAATTATATCACAACTACTCTATCGTGAGCACCCAAGAATAACTAAAATAAAAAAAACATGAACATGAATGAATCCTAATCAATCTCACACTCCTAATCCTCTACCATGAAATGAAATTATTTAACCGCATATAATGAGCTTATTAAAAGCCCAATAAATTATCAAAATCTACAACTTAACTCAACATAAGATAAAGGAGTAATATGCATGTTGATAATTAAATCACAGCAGTTGCATTTATATGATCATTGAATCAGTGCATAAATAGTAAAATTGCACGATATAAGATAGTAAATCAGTACAAGCGTCAAATTAATAAAGAAAATGTCATATTAATACTATAATTAGTAGAGAAATTATATAAAACAATAAAATTAAATCATCAATAAAAACTGTCAAAATCAAATCAATATAGTAAAAATATATAGGAGTGTACACATGCTATCAAGTTATTCTATATTAGTATTAAATCGGTAACTTAATCACATACTTAATATATCTTATATATCACATTCTCAATGTATATATCATGCTTTTTTATTAATAAAATCAATAACAATGTTAATAATAATTTCATATAATAATATGAACAATGCCTCAATAATAATCATTTCAATAATCATAATAAATAAGTAGGAATTTTAACTTTAATAGTGTTTTTAATATCATATTAGTGTCCATAAATCGTTAGCTCAATAAATATAGTCATCACTCTTTACCCGTTGACACAGTAATCATTTCCTTATAACTCACAATCAGTGTATCACGTGAATCAGTATAGGATAACATCAAATTACAGAATTTAAAGAAAAATCTCATCAACCCACCATCATATATAGGTCAATCAGTCTCCAACTAATGAGTTAACTAATCTTTACTTATCTTTTACATACACATTATTATCACGGTACTAGAACAATAATCTTAGTCATATATTCACATTTATTTTTAATATAGTATAACAAATAAAGTATATTAAACTTAATTCAGAAAGTGTCAAAATATCATAATGGTAGATAATAGAAAATCTTACTGAGCAAAGATTCATATTTTTAGAAATTAATCAAATTATCAGTAATTATATATAAAAATATTGTGAAGCTTTTATTGAACTAAAGCACTATTTTTAAATGTCAAAATAATTTTATAAATAGGCAAAAATCACTTCTTTTTCAAAATCATCTTGCAAAAAATTTTAAATAAATACTCAAAACATTCATAATCTCGATATATATAATATATAAAAGTTTTACAATAAAAATTTTAACAATACAAAATTATCTTTATTTTTTTATAACAAAAATATAAATTTGATGGAAAAATATCAAAAATACAAAATTATTGAAATTAGAAATAGGATAAACATTCCTTATAATAAGACAAGCAAATTTTTCAATTGGGCTGATTGACAAAAATTGCTCCATGACTTTTAAATCTAGGTTTCTCTTTTTTGTTTCCTCTCTTTCACACTCATTTTAGTTTTCAATCCTTTGTTTAGCTGAATGAAGAAGGAAAATAAGGATTAAATAAAATTCTTATAGCTTTAAGATATTTATAATGAAATAATAAAATGATAATAATATAATTATATAATTTAATCAATTTTTAAATATAAAATTCATATAATTTTTTTTGTTTCAAAAATTATAAAAAGAAATCCATAAATTAACTGATTTTATTTAGAAAATATTAGTAAAATTGGTTTGCAAAACGGACATCCGATGATCCCAAAATCCTTACTTGTACTAACAAATGTTAATTTCTTAAGTATTTTCACTGATGCCCAATTTTTTTTTTTTTAAAAGTAATGTAATTAAAATATTATAATATCAATGTTATGGTGAAGACGATTTTTAATTTGGACTTATATTAACTCCTGAAAAATTTTATTTACCTCGATCAAAGTACGAGCTATTATAGACGATCCATTTGATCACGGTCACCCGTCAACTATGATTCCTTTGACCACACCATCGATTATGGTCCCCCCCCCAACCATAGTTGATCACTGACTATGGTCGCTTCGACTTCCATCGCTCGCTGACTACGGTCGCTTCGACTTCCATCGCTTGCCGACTACGGTCCTATCAACCAAACAAACAGGCCAACACTCTCTTAATAATATCTCTCATATCACTAGATTCTTCCAACTCCTAGCATATAATGTGCTCTATATGATGCATATTTACTATACTGAGCCAAGGCTTTTCCTATAAGGAAGGGTCTTATTTGTATTCAACAATAAAAACTAGTAGAATCATTTTAATTGGGTAACACCCAATAATTTATTTCTTTTTAATATTTTCCACGTAAAAATCTTAGTGTCTCTTATGACTCTTGTATCCCTCTCTCTTATCTGTTGATGTGCTGGATTTTCGTATAAAGCTTGTATGTTAAACTCTATATCACTCTACCATCACAAATATTCTAGGACGAAATAATTTTATTTTAATTAGTATTTAATGAATATCATTAAAATTTAAGTAGTATTAATATGATTATTTAAGATTGGTGTGATTAAAATTTTAATTCAAAATTGATTTGGCTAATATATATCAACTAACATAATTATTTACCAATTAACTAGTTAAACAAAATCACATGTATAATAATTATCTTTTACAATTTGATTATAAAATAAATTTTATATTTAATTTTTAAAGTACAAAGAATAATATAATATAAACATATTTTTTACTAAAAAATAAATTATTTTAGGTAACCCTAGGTCCTTGGCGCTTGGGGATAAGATGACCTCTTAGTCCCTCAAATTCTGGTGGCACCAATCGGTTAAAATTAATATTATACTCTATTTTGGGCTTCTGATAAATAAGCCAGTCCGTCGTCTCTTCTCGGGCGAACGACCAACCCCTCCACCTGCTAGGGTTTCCTTCTTTGGATCTTTGGATTTACAAACCCTAGATACGCTAGTTCGTTGTTTCCCAACCGACGAGCACGTCAAAATCCCTCATCCCTTCGTTTATTTCAGTTTTCAGGGATTTCGCAGCCTGCGATGCATCTGGTGGGCAAGGCGCCGAACGGGTTCTGGGGCCGCAACAAGCGCACGGCTTCCAAGGAGGCGGAAGAGGGGGAGGAGGGAGGGCCATGGCTGAATCTTTGGCTGGGTAATCTCTCTGACGAAACCGTCGACGAGGATCTGATGGCAGTTCTCGGTAACTACGGTGCGATGGACGCGGTTACGTCGTACTTCCCTCGGCCGTATGCCTTTGTGTACTTCAGGACCATCGAGGATGCCAAGGCAGCTAAACAAGCACTCCAGGGAATTGTGATGCGTGGAAAACCCATCAGAATCGAGTTTGCCCGACCGGTTGGTGTCCATCTACTGCATAATTTGATATCTTTGTCTGTTTTAGGCATGATCTTTTTTTTTTCACCAAGTAGGAATTATGCTTTGGAGCGGATGATCTAAATGGTAAATATATTTTGGGAATGACTACTCAGTATTTATATCGTGGAAGCAACTAATTAGAATCTAGTTTATGGCGATTGTTTTATGTAGATATTTTAATTTGGAGGCTGAAGATGGTAAAATCATGTTTAGCTTGGTAACAGCATACTAGTACTGCTTAAATTTTCAACATACGACCTTATTATCAATTATTTTTGAGCTTGCTCCTTATGACTTCATCTAATATTTTGACATGTACTAGCATGTATCTGCCAGTAATTTATGGGTATTAATAGTGTCTGCATGTTTTTAGCATGATCGTACTTTAATTCTTAGATTCCTTTATAACGTAACAGTTATATTTCACACTAAAAGTAGAAATCCTTGCATAGTTATTATTTTTAGATGATACTAAGTAAATTGGAAGCTTTGAAAGAGTGCTATGCTATGCCTTATGTTGGACATTTTGAGAACGTGCAAGAATTTGATTGATTTGGGATAAAAACCTCTTAATCCTTTTATCCTGCAATTTAAACTCCTGTTTGAGACTAAGACTGCATCTAGAGTTATCGCCAAAACAGTATAAATACCCTATTTGCAAACAATATGAGTTTGCTTTTTTCTACTAGAGTTATAGTTTTTGATAAAATTTCTGGAGCTGAAAAGGATTGCTTTTTCCTGCGTCAATTTACTCATACCTTACAAGAAATCAATGCTTCTTCTCGAGGTTTTGTTTGGTAAATTGATTGAAACATAGATATCTAAATAAACAGATTTTTGCATCAAGTATTGTTTATCAACTTTTGTTGCCTTATTGAATTGACAAAATGAACCAAAATTCATCTTCTTATCCTGCTATTCTTCTGTTGTTGGGAGTTTCTTTCACTCATCATCCTCTTACATCTGTGCACCTGCATGACGATCCTAATTTTTCCGATCGTAGTCCTTTCACATTTGCTACATTATATTACCACCTTGTTGATGAACCTTAAGTTTAGTTTTTATTGCAAGTTCCAAAGTTATTAATATGCATCTCAGCATAACTCTTGTGCTAGCACTATCTTGGTGAGACTTATTTGTGATTTTGGTTGTTTGAATGATCTATGTGCCCACTTAATGTAGTCAGCAGAATTCTAACTTAGGGACTTGTTTCTAGTGAACTATTTTTTAATGAGAAATGTTGTCCTCATCATTTCCTAAGCGCAAGGAATCAATAAAATCTGAAATTGTGAATTAAATTGATAAGAATAGCATCTTAATGCTCACTTAACCCCGAGGCTTGCGATGGAAGGTTATTAGAGTACATTCTAAATATTCCAAGTTGTTAGATTAGTTATTTTATCTGTAAATATAAATATATAGTGCAATAACACATAGTTGAGCTTTTTTGGGGAGCTTGAGTTTTCATAAAGTCTATAAATGTTAGTATTGATGGCGTAAATACTGTTGCTTTTATGTTGTGTTGGATATGTGGATGCATAGGTTGGTCATGAATGCTAGTTTTTCCCTTTTAAAGGTGTGTAGGGCACTTGAAAAAAGAAAGAAAGAAATAAAATAAAATATAATGCAACACAATACTTGTGTCTCTTTTTTAGTACATCGTGCTTCGTCCTCTTGAATGCTTCATCTTGGCATGCAGTCATGCACGGGTGATTAGAACCATCATCATAATCATTAGCATTATCTAAATTATTTGGGGTTATCTTTGTGAATCCTCAATTTTCGTTCATTCCAATATAGTGTTGCATGAGGTATTAAATTTATTATTCACAAATCATTTAAAATAAATTCTATTCATGCTACTTTAGATCTACCCCTTCATCATAATCCTCTGACATTAATTTTCTCTACTTGCCGATTTTGTGTAATTTTTAGTCTTTATTGTACTTGTCGAAGCCACCTTAGTCTATTTTCAATTATCTTAACTTTGATAGATGCCACTATAACTTTTTCTCTATCATTATCATTTCTTAACCCAATTTTTCTATAAATTCATCTCAACAATTATCATATACTCTTGATGTATTTCTTCATTTTAACTACCACCAGTTACTAGCCTTAATTCTAAAAGTTATATCTTTATCTCTCAATATAATTGATCAAAGATATTACATTCATCAATCATGATTATCACTTTATCTTTTAATAGTATTGATTGATAATTGTTAAAATCACACACACTGATATTATGTTTTGTATAAGTTATCTTTATTATAATAAGTTTAAGTCATTTATCTTATTTTATCCATTGTTCTAACATTTGACTTATTTTAGTAAATGTCTCGTTGATTGTAACTATGTCATCTTCAAAAAACATACATTAAATTACTTGAATATGAATTTCATTTGTAAGAATCTCTATAATTAACACTAAAAGATATTGACTCAATATTGATCTTTGATATAATCCTATCTTAATTAAAGCCTCATTGGTCATCTTATAATTACTAATGCATGTTATTGCTACACCATACATAACTTCAATTGCTATAAGATATCTTTGGCATACACTTTCTTTCTTATATTCTGAAGAAATTGAGTCCCATGATACTTCTCAAGGTCAATAAAAATCATTTGAAGATCATTGTTTTGCTCTCTACACTTTTTCAATAATAATTGTAACACAAACACTTCCATGATAGATCTTTCTGGAATGAAAGCAAATTAATATTTTGAAATTGATAAAAACTTTAAAGTACATATTTCATTTCTCTTTTCTATAACCTATGACTTAAGTTTTATTTCTTTAGAGTTGCACAAATCTCGAACATCTCATATGTTCTCAAAATGGGTGCTATGGGGGAAAGTATGTCCAAAATTTGAAACTCACTTCGTAATTGCTTGAATTCAAATCAAAATTGATTTATTTTAGCCAAGGTTTAAAAAAGAGAAATTGGGGATCGAGGCATTTTGCTTAGCGAGGCGAGGCGCAAGCCTCGAGGTGGATCGAGGCGTAAGCCTCAAAACAAAAAAAAATTAAAACCCATGAACTTAAAAATAATTCATAAAAATGACAAAAATAAATTAAAATATCAACATATTTATTTGATTCGTCATTATAAAGATATAAACTATAAATATCAATATTAAATGTTATTATAAAATGAAAATTTGAAATGAGGCTCAAAGTAAACACTCATTTAATACTTAAATACACCATAAAGATTATAATCCACTACGGCCTCATGCTTCCTTTCATATTTCTCATAATAGCCCTCATATGTAATAATTATATCATCCTCGAATTCTGACTCGAACATTCTTCAATTATAACATTTTTTTAAAACTCTCCATATTAATTCACATTGGATTCAATGTAATCTAAAACAAAGCAACATATTACAATTACAACAAATTAATCCATTATATTTAAATCGCCATTGAATTTTTTTTTTTTTTGAAGTTTGAACTCCACTTTGTTATTTTCTTTAAATTACTTGTCAAGTAGAAGTTATTATCAATTCAGTAATCATTTTAATATTAGCATTGATATTTTCATTCTTCTTATCTTCAAACACATTCCTCCCTTTTCAATTTTAAATCTTTTACTATTTTTTGTTATTATCCATTCATCTTTAAAAAAATATATCATTAACAACCAAATGATTTATTTCATCATCACTAGTTATTCACCTTTATAATTTAAAGTGTTTATCTTTTAAATTTTTATTAAACATCGCACAACCATTCAACCTTATTCATTTGTTCTATAACAAATTAGTTCCTTCTCTTTGTATAATAGAATAAAGTATATAAATTATTAATAATAATATATAATAAAAATTTATAAAACTTAAGTATAATGAGGCGCTGCCTCGAAATGTCTTGAGGCATTAAGCCTGGAGGCGTGCACTTCATTTAAAAAGGTCATAAGCCTCACTGACACTAGCGAAGGCTTAAGCCTTGAGGCACTCATTATGCACCCTAGTTCAAGGTGCGCCTAGAGGTGTGAGCCTCGAACGATTTTTTAAACCATGATTTCAGCTCAAGGATAGCTTGCCTGTTATTAATTTGAGTGAATTCTAAATTTATTTAATATGTGATATATGTAAGCGTGCACTTACATGATATGATATACATGCACACAAATACATAGGCATATATTTGTTATAACATATCACATGAATCGTGAATATATACTCATGTATATTTTTTATATTTCATGATATAAATTTAAGAGCACAACCGCAATTTTATTATATTTCTTATTGTACAAGAATGAAGGAAGAAGAGAGGAGTCTTGAGAAGCATCCAAAGAGGGTTTTTTTATTCACTAAAAAACAGAATGAAAAGTCCAAAAGAAGATTGGGGATGGTCTTTCCCTGTACAAAACCAGATTATCTGATAAGTTTTATGAATACCTTAGATATCTGACAAAAAAAAACTAAAAGGTATACCATGAGCTGTTCCCTAAAAATGGAAGAAACATGAGATAGAAAAAACAATTGTTGTTATGGTTGACAACATCATGTTGAGTCTAGTGTACAATACGAGCATGTCTCTATCTTTGAGGATTGTGCTGGAGGATATAACGATGGGGTCACTATCCAATGCGGACATGAGATGAGTTGGACACCTTAAGGGTACAATTAGAAGGTGATCGATGATATGTCGATTGTTGGAAGAACCTCATTTATGTTAAGATGGTGTATAAATTAGGGTTGAACGCTATACCACATCTTAATCTTTACCCTTTGGATTGTATTCAAAAAGGGACCAGAGATGAGATTTTTTTTTCAGAGATGAGAATTGATTGATGTGATGATATGTGAAATGTTTCCACTTGATATCTCATACCTTCATGATAGATATGTGCTATTGTATTGATGTTTTTATTAGTGTCAGCTTACAAAAAAAAAATTACCTTTTTGTTGAAAAAGACTTCGACATCCTGATTTCAAACGTAATAATTGTTGGGCAAGTAGTTTGATTTATTAATGTAGGCTAAAAATTTCTAATGATGATGTTTTGTTTGGTTAAAGAAGAAAGGCTAAAGTTATGCTCTCTTCCTTCAACTGCCCATATACATCAAAAAGAAGAAAAAGTTTGTCTTCCAAAAGAGTAATTGAGCAAGAACTGCCATAAGTGGTGAAACGTCCATTGTTGAAGGAGCTTTAAGAGTTACCTTCTTAAAAAGTCAAGCAAAAAGAGGATAATAAGAAATCAGTGTCTCATCAATATTGGTTTGGTAAGATTGACAGAGGAGACATACTATAGAATGAAGTCAAACCAATTAGTACACTCAAGATATGATTTTGGACATTTATAGGAGGTTCATAAAGAAAAAAATTCTATCGATCCATGAACCTAGCTTTTAAAAGATTTTTTTTTTTAAATCTCTTCTAAACTTTCTAAACGATGTATTGCCAAAAAAAATGGGTAAATTAGGGAGACTTTAAAGTTGACCTCCCACGTACTTGACATGATAATTTCGCATAATTGAAATCCCCTCCTAAAAGGGGACATGATAGAGTGATCAAATTTTAGTTGGTTGTTAATCAGATCATCCATGATTAAAGTTGTATGTTAGATTGTGGAAAGATCAAAGAGATTGTGTTTGTTGAAGTTCAATTAGCCAATTTCTCTAGCAAAATTGTTGATTGTAGCAATTCTCATGTCACATGGTTGAGATCAAAGGAGTTGTCGATAGGAATCTGTAGACTTCATCATATTGTCTATCAAATATCATGTGAGGGAGATCAAAGCTTCAGAAGAAGAGGAATGAGATGGGGTTTATCTATGTGCAACTTTAAATATTGTAGGATTATAAGTTTGACTTCCTTTTTTTTTTGGTAATTCATCAGCCAAGTTTATATGTGAACCCTATCAAACGTTTTTAATCATTCAAGGACAAAATCATTATAATTAAAAATATGCTTGTCCTCAACATTGCTATATAGTTCGTTGCATAAATGTGGGAAGTTTATCTGAAGTGGCACTATTGAATTGAACTTTGCGTGGTAGGAGTAATTCGTGGCCACTTGACTCCTGTGGTTTATATACTTTACAGATCATGTTCAATCCATCATGTTTTCTTAGTCTGTACAGTGAATAAGACATATGCGGGGTAATAACCAACATGTTTCCTTAGATGCCTGAAGAGTGACTGATTGTGGGGTACTTATTTTGCTCCTACCTTTTGTTGGGTTTTTAGTGCTGCATTTATACCATCTGAAATCCCTTTCTTATACTTTTAATTTTGGTTTATTGTGTACTTGTTGAGTGCATATTGAGTTTTCCTACAAATTTGGTGCTGGGTTGACTTTCTTTCTGTAAATTACAGGCAAAACCTGGGAAAACCCTATGGGTTGGTGGTATTAGTCAATCTGTCACAAAGATGCAGCTTGAGAATATATTTGCGAAGTTTGGGGAGATTGAAGATTTCAGATTTCTTCGGCATCGTGGTTCAGCATTTATTTGTTTCCATAGAATTGATGATGCCATTGCTGCACAGAAAAGCATGAACTGGAAGCATCTTGGGGGTAGTGAAATACGTGTAGATTTTCAGAGGTCACCAACTCTAAGAAGGGTATTTATGCTCTTAGCGTGTTCAGCTTATTTCTTTTTTAATTTTGATTGCACATTTATGTTGCTTTCCCCTGGTTTAATTGCATCATTGTATTCACAATACAACTAGCACCTTAACAACTCCATATTGGAATACATGGCTATGTTGCATTTAATAGCTAATTCGTGGTTTTTCTTATTTGATGATGTGATTGCGTTAAAACTCAGACCCCTATTTGGTTTTACTCTTTTTAGTTTCAGCCTAATGAACTTCTAATATGATCAGGATTGGGACGCAGAGCATGATTACAGGAACAGTAAGAATCTGCTACCAACTGATCAGTTATTATCTCCTGATGAGGTGAAATATTTTCATGACTCCTCTACCCACCTTGGAGCAAAGAGACCTCTGGTATGCTTGTAACTAGTTAAGCCCATTGTTGATTTTTAACTATTATTCTATTGCTTGTTTGATTACTAAAATTATATTCTTCTTCTTTCTTGATAACTGTATCAGCCACATGGAAGGAAAAGGGATGAACAGCTAAGTAATGTTCTTTGGGTGGGTTACCCACCGGAGTTGCAGATTGACGAGGAGTTACTTCACAATTCAATGATTTTGTTTGGTGAAATTGAACGAATTCAGAGTTATCCTGAAAGAAACTACTGCTATGTAGAATTTAGAAGTGTTGATGAAGCTCGTCGTGCTAAAGAAGGATTGCAAGGACGTCTTTTGGGTGATAGTAGGATACAGATTTTGTTCTCTAATAGTGAGCTAATAGGAGGCAAGGAAAATACCCCGTTTTCTGCACCAGAGGTCTTTTTGAATGAGCCTTTTTTTGGCCCAGTGGAATTATTTGGTCCAGGCCATTCAATGGCTTCAAACCGTTTTCCTGGACACTTAACTCCAAATGCTATTCCTCGGACTAATATATTAATTAGGCCATTTCCACAAGGATTTGATCCCCAACATGGTGGTTCGGACTTCCATGAGTTTGGCGGTGGTATTCATAACTTTCCTGAAAGCATCATTAACAATCCGATGGCTTCAAATTTGAAGAGGCCGTCGCCTTCTGCGCCTGGTCTAATCACTTCTGGACCTGTAATACGCCCACCTTTCAGGCCCTTACAAGCACAACGGGATGAATTTGACATTAGGGAACCAAAGAGATCAAGAGTTGATGGCTTTTTCCCTTCAAGTGATGCTCATTTCCCAGGAAGACTAGTTGATGTTGATGACATGCCGGACTTTTCTGGCTTACCTCATCCAGATAGAAACCTTCTCAGTCATCGGCAGCAGACTCCTGATATTCGCGGCCATGATCCTTCAAGAGCATCTCCTGGAATTGACTACTGTTGGCGTGGTATTATTGCTAAGGGTGGCACACCTGTCTGTCGTGCGCGATGTCTGCCTATAGGAAATGGCATAGAAGCTCCATTGTAATTCTCATTTCTTGTGAGTTTGTACTGCTTTGCTTTGATAGGTTATTTTCTTCTCTTATGTTTGTTATTTGAACTCTTTGGCAGCCCTGACATAGTTAACTGTTCAGCAAGAACAGGATTAGACATGCTTACAACTCACTACTCGGAGGCGGTTGGTTTTGATATGGTGTTCTTTCTTCCCGACAGTGAAGAGGATTTTGCTTCTTATACAGAATTTCTAAGATACCTAGGTCAAAGAGACCGAGCTGGTGTGGCAAAATTTGATGATGGGACTACAATGTTTTTAGTGCCTCCATCAGATTTCTTGACAAAGGTTTTGAAATATTCTGGTCCTGAACGCTTATATGGTGTCGTTCTTAAACTGCCCCAGCAAACCACCCCTGCGCAGCAACTACAAGCTATCATTCCGCCTGTTGATGCCATAGATCCACAGCTGGGGCGTGCATCGCAGAGAAGTTATGGTTTTATGACACAGAATGAGGACCAATCTTTGAAGGTAGATTATGGTATTAGCTTGCAGGAGAGACCAATACCTCATGCAGGGGCTGAAAGGCCAAGGTTGGTGGTGCATTCAGAGGAACAACATGCAATTTCGTCACTTGCACAAGATCACTTGAAGAGCCATGAAACTACATCCCAACCTGAAGTTTCCCTAACGCCTGAATTAATAGCAACGCTAGCCTCTCTGATCCCTACAAACAGTCATCCATCTGCTGTGATGCCTTCCCAGATGCCTTCAAGTTCTGCTGGGATGCCTTCCTTTTCTGGTCCTCCAGTAAATGATAATGCAATGTTAATGCAAGGCTGGGGTCAAGAAGGAAGGAGCACCTTTTCTTCTACTCCCTTAGAGCATAATATATATAATCCCATGCAGAATTTACCACCACCAGGGCATCAGTATTCCAACCAAGCCCCAATGGTTCATCAGTTTCCAAACTATACGAACATCACAAATGGTGTGGATAACTCATTTCAACCTGCCATGGTTGGCATGCCACCATTGCAAGAAGCCTCTTTACAAATGCAGCAGGCTCCTGGTATTATTGGGACTGTAGGGAATATAGTTTCATCACAGGTTGGTCAATTTCAAGTCCTCCAGAGCAATCAAGCTGCAGATGTAGCTAGCATCTACAACTTGCCCATCAGGCACCAATTTACACCTGCTACTCCTGCCACAACTCATAATGGAAGTGTGTTGCAGATCCCAGCAGACACACCTGTAATAAATGACAGATTGAATGTTGATTTTTCTAATCAAGCTCAACACTTACATGCAGCTATCCCTGGTTCTGGCCAGGGCAACTCTGAAGGTGATGCCGATAAGGATCAGCGTTACCACTCTACTCTGCAGTTTGCTGCCAGTTTGCTCCTTCAGATACAACAGCAGCAGCAAGCCAAAGCACAGGCTGCACTGGGATCTGGAAGTCAACAATAACTATGCTTTCTCCTGGTAAGTAACCGTCATACCTAAAGTTATTCCACTTTTATGTTTGATAAGGTAGTTGATAGTTTATACTATACCTTGAAATTTTCTTTTTGTTGATGTGGGATTGATTTGCTGCATAATTTGGCTTGTTTTATTTTTTAGCCGACTATTTCTTTTTAAGCCCTTCGTTGACAAAATCTTTCATGTTTTTTTTGTTGACCTTTTTAGTCAGCCTATGGAAAATAGGGCGTAACTAGAACTAATTTCTTAGTTTGAATTCAAAAACATCCTGGAAATTTGCGTGATGACAAAGTTAGAAGCAGTTTTTAAAGGAGATTAGCTAGTTATGGAGGCAGGCTTACACTTTAGAAAGATTTTGTTACATAAATACCACCATAGCTTGATGTTTCTGATTAAATATAGAAAAATGGTATTGGAGTACAGTGAAGATACCCTGGAGATAAAATGCTTCATTGTAAATGATTGTTATAGCATGAATTGCCTAGCATCAAGACTTTCATAATTGGTGGAACACAGTATTCATTGATAAGAAAGTTTGCCGTATTGGAGCACGATTTTGATTTTGCTAGTGTTTAGTTTTAAATTTGTCAGCTGGATGGATTGGTTAAAAGCCCTGACAATGCTCTATACAGAATCATGTCAAAGAGTGAGATGATTCGAATCATCATAATTTTAATTCAATTATTGTAAATGAGAGATAATGACATGCACTGGACTTGAGTGTTCCTTTGTTCGGTTCTACAATTGATTACTAAAGAAGGCTACTATTCATTGTTGGCATTCACCTCCCATAAAATTCTATCATTTTTAGGATGTTATGTTATAACCTGGATGTAAAAATAAGCCATTTCTGAAATTATGCTTCTTTTTTATGAGAAGTTTAGAAGTCTCCCTTCTTTTTCCTTGTGAATTCCTATGTGCTTTTGGACCTGTCATTCTTTTCAAGCCTATTTTGTTGCCTAGAGGATATTCTACCCTTTTTCTTTTAGAGTACATTACACATTTGTGAAAATGAAATCTTTATTTTTAGAGGGTTTTGAGACGGCTTTTCTTGTTTTAAATCAATGTGGATATGTAATTACATCCCAAATACCTAGAGGATTTAGCAACGTCATTTTTCAAGCAACCAAATGAGCCTAGGTGAAATTTCTAGAAACCTCGCTATTATTTTTTTTTCTTTGATATAGAAAGGTGAGTTGCTTGGCCAATTTTTTAGGCTAACTTATACCATCTATTTGTTATGCTGTTTTTGTATCATTAGGCAAGATCAATGGTGCAATAGTTGATGCAGTAGTACCTTGGCGTGTAAACTTGATAGTCCAGTAGTTGAAGACTAGTTTGTGAGGCATTTGAAATGGTGGGCGCCTCTTTAGAACCTCAGTCTTCCCTATACGTGTTTAGATTTTATTACTCCATGCAATTTTTCATAGGTTTCTGTGCTTTTTCATTCTCTTCGTAGCCATCCCTTAATATGATTTGGTTTTGTGTGAAAATTTCATTACCCTTCTTAATCTATGTGAACCATAACTTCAAACTTCAAACTGATCAATTGTAGGAAATAGAAATAAAGGGGCCTCAGTATAAAATAAAGAGAAGGGATCATGATGAATGCTGAGAAGATTAACACCATTGGCCACACCCCCGCCCCAAAGTTTAGGCTTCAATTTTTTCACTTTGTTCTCTAGGCCATGCAAGGTAACACTGGAAGTAGAACAGAGGTGGGTCAGGGAGAATGGAAAGGAAGAGCTAATGGAATTTTTACACTAACAAATTCAGGCTATACGGTATTATATTAAGGGAAGGTAGAGTAATGCTTCACTCCCCCCAAAATTAGAAAGTTCAGGATTTTCCTATTGCTTGTGCCCAAGTCAATGTGGTGCCACCTTAATATTAAGGGTAGACTATTATTTCACTCACCAAATAAAATATTGAAAAATTAAAGTTTTTTTTTTCCACGTGCCCTAAGTTTATGTAGTTATATGTGGCCTATTCTTTTTTATTGGGCCGCACAGGCTTCAGGAATATGAAGCAATAGGGAAATTAATGCTGTAACCTAATTTCACTTCCAACCACTTGGTTTTCTGGTATTTGCTTTTGATTTTTTTATTTTTTTGGTAGTTAATATAAGCTCCCTTTTTTCACAAATTGTTTACCTCTTTTAATTAGATTCATTCAACAATCTTTTTAACGATCTAGGATTAATGCTGGCTAGCAGCTCCTATATTGACCTTTATTTCATGATTAAACATCGAACATTGAGTGCATGTGTGATTTCATTTGCTTCAAGCATGACGAAATTATTTTTTAACTGCTTCGCTGCCCTTTATAATTGCTTGCATCATTTCTCATTTAATTCTATTTGTTATTTAGCATTTAGTTTTTAATATTCTTTATGGATCCATCACTCATGCGCATCTTTTATTATTTTGAAACTCTTGCAAGATTTTTGATATTTTAGTGTGGTTGTGCTGAAATTATCTAATTTTCTTGTTCTAAATTTTTTCTTTGTAATTATTTATTATTCTTTCTTGTTAAAATGAATACCAGATTTCTGTTTTTTTATAGTGTATTTTAGATATTGTTTATTATATATGCTATGGTTTTATACTCTAAATTTGTAGTCAGCCATCAAGTACCTTCTCTAGGACTTTAATCTTGTGATTGTGGGTAGGCTCCCTCACAAAGGTGTAGAATCGGTCAAAATCAAACCTTTTTAATTTTTTACTCGTTAGTCGGCCATGGAAAAAATTGTATCAGGTTTGCTGCAATTTATATCAGAATGATAAGACAATATATTCCGAATTATAAGAAAAATGCTCAAAATTAGAAAGACATTTAAACAGAAACAAAATGCTGCCACATGAGACTACCTGTGAACCCTTTGACCTCTCTGTGACCCTGTTGCACCCCCACACTGACCTCTTTAGCACGTCGACGAAACTGTCTTTTGACCAGATGTGAGACCCAACTAAATGATCCCATGCTGGAGTCTCTGCCATCTGCATCGCCTTCTTCGTCGGCATGTCTCCGCCCTAGAGTTTATTCTTGTTTACATCCAACCAAACATAAAATAAATTCCATGGCTTTATTTTACTATCAATTACATAATCTTAAAAAATTAAAATGCATTGCATCTAATTTACACTCCATTTGAAATACTTGAGTATCATAAACACTCACAACTAAATAACTCCTAAATGTTTGGCCATAATTTCTCGTCTCGGGTATGAATCCGCGAAAAAATTATTGTCTTGTTATTTGTTAAGATGGCTTTTCCAAAATACCTTCTCTTCCGAACCTCCGTGTTTCCGCCGATCTGAGAAAAAAAAATTTACATTTCCTGTTGCAATACTTCCGTTTAAAAAGGAAAAAGAAAAAAGAGCCGGGGAATCAAAAGAGACTTAAATAACTTATAAATTTCTTCTAATTTTGAGCATTTGATTATAATTCCAGCTGTTCCATCTGATACAAATTGAATGAGGATATGCTAATGCAATTTTTATTCTTTGGCCAACTTGAAATGAAAACCATTCCTCTTGATCGTGTATGTTGAATGATGCTCACTCTAAACTCTTGTATCATTTACGCGTTCCCTTTCTAAAGCTCAACACCATTCTCTTTAGACCCGTATGTTATCCTGCTCTCACCACTCCTTGTTCACGTCATCGTCTTGGAGCGTTTGCGTTTGCGTTGATGCGTTTCCAAACTTAAAAAAAGTTTATAAGAATAATCTTCGTTTTAAAATGGAAGAAGCGAGTGAACATAACATGGTCAATTAATAATAATTTCACATAATACTTCTATTTTTAGAAAAGCATTAAATCTCAAGTTTTAGCCTTGACTGCTATTTTTAGGCTTCATTGGGGATAGTTTTTTCACTGTCTTGTAAAGTTATTTTTTAGTACTAAAATCTATTAAAATTAGGAAAAAAATAGTGGTCTAAAGTTGTCACGGATGAAGATGAAGCATTGTGACTGTTTTTTTACTGCTTAAAATAATTTTTAATAAAAAAAATTAAATTTTTATTAACAAGCAGTGGTCTAAAATCTTTCCAAACGAAGGCTTAATCTCCTCTGAAATCTCGACAAATTTTAAAAAAAAGTACATACGAGCTCCTCCTGCTAACAACAAATAACAGTACCTGGATATTTTTCATGACTTAGAACATGAATTGTCGCTAATTCTATCAAGTTTTCCTTTTTAAAACGGTTATATTGTGTTGATGTTAAAAATATCTTAAAATTAATGAAACCATAGCGTTGACTATAACTATAGTTACTGGAATTTCTAACACTATTAGTTAGGAAGGATTTTATGTAGATAATACCTGAACCAAACTTTTATAATATTGAATCATTAATCATTAACACACTCTCTTCGTTAATAACATCTCATTTCGGCATGTTTGGAGCGAGCTAACACGTATGATCCTATGTAGATAATCTAACTGTATTAACTTTGTTAAAGTACATCGAGTTTTCAAAAAATAAAAATAAGTAAATAATCGTAATACAACTCCTGCTATGATGGGGTCATATACAGATCTTCTCGAGTTAACACTAGAAAATCTGTTACGGGATAGCTGGAATGAAATATTCTGTACGTAATTCGTGGGTTATTTGAACAAGTTCTATTCCTGATGGGCATTTGCCATTCGGCATTGATCGATCATAGGCGTGAATTAGGTTGAATCAAACTTGAGGTGAGGCAACCTGGCATTAATTTGAAATAAAAATCATGGATTTTGTCGCTGAGATGCTCTCGTATAAATGATCCATATTGCTGCAATTGCTCTATGATATGATTTAAAGCTTTTGGGTTTTCCCCTTGTCAGCAATTATGTTTTAGGTAGATTTTCGTTATAGAGATGTTAGTTTAATTGATCTCAAACACAATCATCTTAATTTAGTTTAATTACTCCTTGAATCACACAATCTCACTATACATTCAGGTTTTGTTTGGGATAGTTTTCTTATTACTTTTTAAAATGACTTTCTAGTACTAAAAAGTTGTTTGAAAATGCTGCAAAAAAAGTTGTCTTAAACGAAGCCTGAATCATGCGGTTATGTTAATTTTTCTACCTAATATATGCCTCTAATTTCGTTGAATGTGGATGCAGTAATAAGCATATCACTATGTTATTTAAGTAAGTTAAAAGAACAATATAAATAACTTAGAATGAACTCCAGCGTCTATATATATTCATAATAATCGATGTATTTAGATTAATTTTTCTTATAATTATAATGCGATTAGTATTTTTTTTTATTTACCTAAAAGAAAGAAATCTGGAGTAAATATTGTAAATTGTCCATGAATTTGATCATAATGATCTTATGGCAGAATGTCTTAATGATGATTCGATCCTAATTTATATACGTTTGATTATAAATTAGTATTAATTATTATAATGTAATTAATTATCTGGTCATTGTGATTACTTTTTAAGCTAAATAATTAGCTCCGTTGCTAATATTTATGTATGGAAATAAATGTAAATGTTATTAAGAGTTGCTATAAATTTAAGATGAAAGTTTGATAGGCTTATAAATCAGTTAAAATACCTAAATTTTAAAGTTTTCTATCAAATACTTGAGCTTCTAAAATGATTTCTTTATACGGTTGAGTGGAAGTACCAAATAGCTACCTTAAAATAATCTGTAGTTTTACTTTAATTGTGGTTATTTAGTAACATTAAGCTTTGATTATGGCTGTAATTAAACTTTTTGTTAACCCGAGCATTATCTTTTTAAGGTTCATTTATTTATTTTTATCGACCACCAATCAATTTTTGAATAGAATTTGAGTTTTAAATTTTATTTATTAATTCTTTTATTGAGAGAGTGCAGAAGTAATTATATTTTTTATGTTGAAGGTTTAAATATGTATAGCCAGTATTTGAAATAATTGGATTTTTAAGTTTTAATAAAAGCTAAAATTATTTGCCATGTGATCTTAATTTGTTTAGTGATCTGTTCGAATCTTCACAACAAGATGTTTTAATTTATCTATTTGGTCATTTATTTGATATTTTTATCTTGGTTTTTTTACAATAATATATTTAATTTTTAAAGTAAAAAAAATTAATTATTGAATTATTATTTAATTGAATTCTTAACTAGCCGGCGTTTGTTTTTGTTTAGGGTGACTTTCTTACCGTTTTTTAAAATATAATTTGTATTAAAAAGTTATTTTAAGCAGCAGTAAGAAAGTCTAAAATGAAATATATATATGTTATGGCTTATGATTCCTCGGATTTAGAATGTTGAGAGGTATCATTTTTTGCAGTGATTTTATATATATATTATTTGCTTGAAATATGGATTATGGGAGTAAATTCTGCAAAATAAGCATGAATATTATTATAATAATGATTCTATTGCAATTTTGATTTTATGAAAGGAAATTTACTCGTAATTTTCATGCAATTATAAATGAGTATTAATTATAATGTTAGTTTTGTTAATATTTCTTATGAAAGCTTCTCATCTGTGAATTAATGAAATAAATATGCCTTTCAAAAAAAAAATTATAGACTTGCAATAAAATAAATTTATTCAGCAGATTTGAATATTTTTCTATTTAAATTCATTTTCTACAATAAATTTTGTATGTTTTTGGTTCTGCTTCAAGGTTACGAACCTTCTTCATATATCGCAGGAAGGGAAAAAAAAAAAGTTTTGTCGACAGTAATTCTCAACGTTTGTCAGTCAGCTCCAGGATTTGGCTACGGAATCAAAATGCGTATCTCCATCTTCAACTAGTTTTTATTTTTATTTTAATTGCGTGTATTTCGCCTATGTAACTTTTATATTTTAACGCCATAGAAAAACTCTGTTTCTGTAAGCGAATTTCATTAACTTTACGCCTAATATGTCAGCCAACCAACTTCTCTCTCTCTCTCTCTCTTAACTTTTTTATTGCTTTCAAAATAGATCATTTATTTTAAAATAATTACAAAAGATCAATGCTTTAACTTCTGAGTTTTGAATTTAGGCTTTGTTTGGGATACTTTCTTACTGCTTTTTAAAGTATCTTTTTAATATACAAATTTTAATTTTTGTGTTAAAAAGTTGTTTTAACAAGTAGAAAGAAAGTTCTCTCAAATGAAATCTTAATCTTGCCTATAGGTGATGAGTTGATTGCATTGATGAGCTTATATGGAAATAAAGGTGGTAAGGAGAGAGTCAGGGGTGTCAAATTATGACATAACCTGAAACATGATCCGAATTCGTGCTGGAAAAATTCGGGTTCGGGTCGACTCGGATAGCAAACGGGTTGGGTTCGGGTTCAAAAATTTGACCTGATTTGAGTTTCTGGTCGGGTTCGGGTTGACTTGAAAACCCAAAATCGACCCAAAAATTGCTCTACCTGTATGAGTTGCCCAACGTTCCCACCTTGCCTGCGAAATGACTCGACGCTGCGAGCCTACGACGCGTAGAGTCGCTCAGAGTGTCAATCTGTCACTTCTTCAGGCGTCACGCGGCTCATGCCAGTTCGCCTCGTTGGAGGCCGTCGCTGCTGATGCCCAACCGTGGCGTGGCCGCTCGCCGCCCCATCCACCGCTACTGTCGCTGCTCACGGCAGTTC